GCTCCTTGGCAAGTGTGACCATCCCAGACTCAGTGACCGAGATTGGGCATGGAGCCTTTGCAGGATTCATGTGACCATCCCAGACTCAGTGACCCAGATTGGGTTTCAAGCCTTTGCAGGATGCATTGCTTTGACTTTGGTAGTGCCCATCACTCGGATCCAGTTGGGGGTTGCCATCTTCCCTGGCTTCAAACAGGTTGTTCTCAAAGAATGTGAATGTCAAGAGTGCGAGTACATGTGGTTTCTGAACGGCTGGGTGTGTCCTCGACGGTGGCGATCCAATCTGCTTGCAAGAGGTGGCTGGCTTGGTGGCTGACTTGGTAGGGCCTGTAAAGAGCATACGTCCGAGCTTTACTTAGGTTCATAGGGAAAAGTCTGATTGAAAGAAGTCTAGCCCACAATCATCGACCAACGGCTGGTCAGTGGGTGTGTCGCAGTTTCACAAAACCCACTGACCACATCTCGGTTTGGACTACGTCTCAAGCCGTTCAATCCAGTAGCACCCGGCGCATGTATGAGTCGATGTTTTTGCTAGTGTACTGTTGGATGAATCTTGCACCACCTTGTAATCATCGGAACCTGCCGGCTCTTCCAAAAAACACAGGCCATCCAAAGATATTCGTGGCCTTCAGAAAGAAACGAACGCAGCCCAGCCATTCCGCAACGACACTGGAATTGTGGGTGACGGGTGACCCTTCTTCGTGTCCAGCAGTAACATGTTTTTATGCGTTCTATTCTATTTTTTTGCAGCTACGATAATAGAAGACTATTGCTAGTAGTCTTCTTGTGACCCTTCTGCATGAAACAAACATGTCAAACAGTTTGTTTGTTTATATATATATATATAAGTAACAATTTAAACAATGCTTGCTGATTTGTACAGTTTCGATTCTACAGCTGACCCGCTGACGAGTCCAGAACTCCACCTCGATTTCTGCCAACTCCGCCAGGGATGTTGTTTTCCCGTGCAACGGTGAGGGGACGTTGAGGGCGGCATGGACCAATGGACCCATGGATGCCCATCTGATAGTATACTGTAGCCCTCGACATGGCATGTGGTACCATGTGTTAGCACAAAGCATCCAGAAAGGAGGTGGTTCCTCCAATTCGGAGTTTTCCTCCTCAATCACTCGGATGTAGAGAGAGCTCCACCAAGCCCGCACCAGGCGGCGTTGGCGGAATGTCCGGGGCGGCAGAGTGAGTGAGTTGGGTGGGGGATGGTGAAGGATGGTGAGGGGGCGAAAAACACTGGACCTTTTCAACTTTTGGTGAAGTACTTCGTGGTGGTCACCATTCGGGAAGTGAACACTACTTCATGAGGCAGCTGGAGCTTGGTTTCTTTTGCTTTTTCCATCATCACTCAACCAAAAGGGTTTGCGGGATAGAACTGATCACCCAAAAACGACTCTCTTGAAAGCTTCTCTGCCCAAACTGCGCTACCCGGCCATGGAGTTCGGTCGCAGTGTGGGTCCATTCGGTCCTCGTGGCCCACGTTGGAAGAACATCCTTGGCGGATCCCCACGGGTCTTCCCCCCAAATCCCATCGCGGAAGATGTATATATACCTAGAACCCATGTGACCTTTGTTTTGATAGGAAAAGACCATGTTCTGGCTCCAAAACAGGGGTCAATCAGGTTCTAGGTTATATATATATATTATATAAAGGACGTGTTAGGCCTAGCCTGCTGTGGAGCTGATGGAAAGTCAAAGCATCCACGTATAGTCGGTATTTCGGGGGGAACGTGCTGACTTCGCACATCCAGAGATGGGAGAGAAACCGACCATCTGGAGAACATTCAGGGAAGCACATTTCAGTGGAATTCAAAAACTGATGGTAGTACATCCATCGTTTTCCCAGATGGGGGACCACATTTCAGAAGGAACAGCTATCCATTTGGCCAAATTATCAAGGCCCTGACCGTTTGTGGGAACGCTTCTGCGATTTTCATGCCAAAGTCTCCCGTCGCAACCAAGAACGCATAGCAACTGGCCAACATGTGTTCACAACGTTTACAAAGGATTGATCTCAAGGAAACTGACAGGTGAGATGCTTCTCCGACCAGATCCGGGTCCTTCCAGTTCGACTTAAGAACATTGGTCCCACCCAACATCTCCCTTCCTCTCTTTCTCCACACAGCGTTGCTTTTGGGGTCTCGCACCCTGACAGGGCATCAGGGCGGGTCGACCATCTTTGCCGAATCGTCCGGGCATTCAGCTGCGAGGTCGAGAACGACAATTTCAGCCGGGCGTTGCTTTGGGTGTTGCCGCTTGATGTGGATGGGAAATGAAGAGTGGATAGGAACCAAATGGATTTGATCGATCCTGTTTCATCCTTTTTCCAAATGTGGCGTGATTTATGTTGATGATATGTATAGGCTGTAATACCATGGACCATATCCCAAAGGGATTTGGCTTGTATAGGCTATTGTTGATATGAATCAGAGCCGACCTGGTCGAATGAAGCGTCCAGATCTGGTGAATAGAACACACACACAGATGACCAGGGTGGTTTGTTTGATTCCAGCTGATTGGGTGCGTGTTTATGTTTTTTTCATAGACAACTGTGTTGGCCGGCCATGTTGGCCATGTTGGAAGTTCTCCGCCTCTCCTGACCGGTGTTGATCGGAAAATAGCTCGGCGAGCTGAGAGCGGAGAACTGAGCAGCCGGGGATGTTGCGAGATGTTCCCAGGTTGCCCCCACCACTGAGGACGAGAAGCAAGCATGGAGAACAAGGGGCCAGGGGCCACTCTTGCAAAACGACTGCTGTGTGTTGAGAATCCCTTTTATTTAGCCGTATCACAGACTGTTCAGCATACTCTCTATTGCGGAAGTTGGCAGTTTTGGACGGGAACACGGTCCTGACCTCCAGGTCGTCAAAACTGGCCACTCCACCTGTGAAGTGTGTGCGTTGCTCGACTGACCTCCCAGGCTGATTGGCCAGATATTTTTCTGGCTGGGTCCATGTTGTGTTCAATGCCTCCAACCCATGTTCGATTGATTTGCCTTCAACGCCATCAGCAGACCACAGCTACAAGAACCTATGTTCGATTGATCACTAAACACAGCAAAGTACTGTAAGTACCATTGCACAGACCCCTGACAATAGACCTGACAATAGACCCCTGACAATAGACCCCTGAAGTATCATAGAGCCTGACAAAGTTCAACCCCTGTGTTCGACACCTTTGCTCCACAAGAACGGTTTCAGCTTCTTTCTTCGTCAGCTTCTTTGGGTAAAGAAGCGAAGCCTACCAGGTTCTGTTTATAGTATTCAACAAGGGATTCGGTTGGACTGTTACACCGATCGGTTCCGTTCTTTTGTTGAATATACATTATATATTTATTATTATTATATATATATAGATCTATTTTCCGAACTGTGCACGCCTTACATAAAGATATGACCCTGGAAGTGGGCTGTCTTGGTCCTGAAAAGATGACCATGACTATGACCATGGGAGTGTGTTAAACTCCTAGTTGATGACCCAACCAATCCTAGGAGGGCTGGCGGGACCTGCAGAAGGTCATCAAGAGTGGTTATGTGCCTTGGGCCTTGGACGTTCCAAGAGTTGCGGGTCATGGGACAACACTTCAATGGCAAATGCGTGAAGACAGCACCCACATGCATCTCAGGCATGTTTGGGCATGTCTAAGCATGATTTGTGATATATTAATTATACATTTATTTTTTGGTTCCATTTGTGGAGATTGACACAGCCAAGTTTTGATCACCCAGAGAGGGTGGGTGATCTCATTTGACCTCACGCTTGGATGCTCAGTGTTTCCTCTCAAGCGGAGGGTGCACTTACATTCATAGGAGAAGCCTGGGAGTATGACCATATCGCTCCATCATATTAAGGCAATAAGAGATGTTTATATTACTATTAGTTTCAAGTTGTTGTTAACTTTAGCTTTTCAGGGGAAACCACAAAAGTTACACACGAAAGCATCCCTACATGATGTCTCCATCATGTTCTGCCTGTTCTGCCAACTCTGCAGGGCTGCTTTGTTCTCTCCTGCCCCGCACCATCCCACCCCGAGATTTGTCCTTCTCCGTCCTGCCGCCGTTCGAAGGCACAACTGCGACCCGAGATGTTGGAGGCCATCCACAGGCCATCCATCTCATGTGCGGGTTCCGCAGAGCTTCGTGGAGGGAGGGAAACAACCCCCACGCCACGCCGATGGATGGCAGGGCTCGCCCACGATGGCAGCCCCTCCATGGTCGAGGGCTGCCTTTCGTCCGGCAGGCTTCGCCAAGCTGGCTTCGTGGTTTGTGCCTTGACGAACAACTTCGCCGAGGTCGGGGGAAAAAGCACTTCGCCGACGTTTCGCAGCGTTTTCGCGCAGAGACCGACGTTTCGCGGCAGATGAGACCAGTGGACATCAGATGGGTGGAGTTTGGGAGTTTTCACCACTGTACTTGGAGTTTTGGGCCAAGGGTCTAGGGCGTAGATCGGTATATTTGTAGGCAGCATAGATCCCAAATCGGTCCTGACCACATGATCACACTCGTTCCAAAATAGCTCGATACTAAATAGTAATACTTCCCTCTATACCCGAGACACTCCGTGTCTGTCATACCGCCCCAGACAGACCCCCCTGGCACCACCACCACCCCAATTGTTCTCGGCAGTCCGGACTGGCAGTCCGGGTTGTGTCTGGGTACTAACTGTGTCTTGGACCGAACCTCCCGACGGCCAGGCCAAAGGCTCGGCGGCAGCAGAGGCCCTGGCAAGGCGAGAGATGTGGACAGACCTTCTCGCTTTAGAAGGACCGAACCTACCCGAGGGTCTTAGGGTTGAAGTCGTGGGGGGTATAAATCCATATAAATCCTATACTTCAGATACTCTCACGTAACTTTGTTTGACCTGCCTGACGATCTAGTGGGAGTTTGTTTATAGATAGACTGCAACCAAAAAAAACAGGCACTTGATCATACTCTTCCAGTGATGAATGAGCAACAGTTTCGTCTCCAAAGAAATACGTTAGATCTCCCACCTTTTTAGGCCATCCCAGTAAACCACGTGTTTGCTGTTTTGTTTGTGAAGTGTTCTTCGCACAGTGGTTCCAGTCGTTTGGGTGCCAGTTCAGAGTGCAAACCTCCACGGAGAGACGTGAGACGTCTCCACCGGAGGTTCCATCCGATTTTTTTGGGCTAACCGGTCCCTGCCAGGTTCCGATCTCTCTTCGACCATTTCATCGAGCCGCTGGGACGGATGAGAACCATCCGCGCAAACATAGAGCGAGCGAGCGGGAAGCGCAAGCGGGTCTGAAGAAAAGATCGCACGAGCTGGGTCGCTGGATCAGGTATATGACTTTTGTTTTTTGAAGGACATAGAACGACATCTCGATATTGGGAATGGGGCGTCTAGTATAGGTTGATGCCTTCTCCGAAATCTAAGCATCCTATTATTTCGACCATGGGCATCCAAGACCAATCATATAAACATCATGATCCAATATAGAGTTTTTTTTTTTTTCAGTGTATCAGTATCTATTCTACTAGTACTATATACTATGACAATCCAGCTGTTCCTGCAACCAAGCCCACCTTCTTTGAGACCGTCGCATGGGAGGTCTGCCTCCAGTGGCATGCGAAAGCCGGAGGTGGCGTTCTATCAGCACGCGCTGCAGACGATAGGCGGCGGGGCGGCGGCAAACAGGAACGGCTGCGGTGGACTTCTTTCCCGAAAGCGGTTGAAAGCACCGAAAAGCAATGCCATGTTTTTTTCAAGCAGCTGATGTGTGATACCGGCACAGATGTTGCGTGTTCGGAGGTTTGGACTTGGGGAGGCTTCGAGGTTAGCCAGGTCTTCGCGGGGGCTTCATTCACTTCGCCCGGTTTGACCTGTCTTTTCGATCCGGAAGACAGGAGACGAAGCTCACCACATTCACTTCCTGTGCAATCCCTAGGAGTGAAGGGTAGACGAGAGCCGAGCCTTTGGTGCTTGGGAAGACGAAGAAGAACCCGTTGTAGAATGATGCAGGGTGTTCACACACAGCACCGTGCTGTTTGGATGTGTTTGGTTTTTGATCTCTTAAGATTTTTTGAAACGCATGATTTCTGCAGCCTTGTTGAACACCAAAGGCTTTCTATAGGGAATGTGGGGCTTCCACAGAACCAGGACTCTTGGATCTACGAGGTTCGGAATTCGGCCCCTAAGGTCAGTGGTCCGAGACTCCTGTTCACCAGCCTCCCGCATAGGAGACGTCATGAAACTGGAGACATGTTTACTTGCATTTACTTGCAATAGCCTAATGGTCGATGCGTTCAATATCCCCAGATGTCCTTCAATCTTTGGCTACCATTTTTCCACCATTGTGGGTCATGTACTTCAATACTTTTGATGTCTTACCATGGCTTTGGATGGTCTTCGGATCTTTGGTCTTGACCACCCAGCTCAGTCAGCCGCAGGTTGCCGCGCCGAAGAGGACCGAAGTTGAGTCGAAGTGTTGCGCCGCGTTGAGTCTTGGTAACAGGGCGTATACTGTAGGAGTTTCTTGAACAGGGATGTTTTCACTGCAGGCAAAGATGGGAGTCCCAAAAGAAGGGTTTTGTAATTATCCACCGACTCAGTTGCTTAGTCGCATCCCACTTCTGTTTTGACCGCGTGCGACCACCGGCGGAGGCGCATATGCGCATGCGCATGGGACGGGAATGTGCGCGCATTGGACGGGACAGGCGATCTTCTTGGATGACATCGGGAAGAACCTCAAACCCGCAGCAGCCATGGGCTGGGGGGCACAGAATACCATGTGCAAGCAGGGCGTGCGCAGGGTGTGCCATCCACCCACGCGAGTGACTTCGTCTCCGAGGCATTTGGACCATCCACGTGGAAAATGGCCGGCCGAAGCAGTACCTGGAAGCTCTTCAGAAGCTTCAGGCGAGGCTCGATGGCTGACCTTCACCCGCTGGGAGTGGGTGAAGCTCGATGGTTCTTAGGTGTTCAGAGTGGAGTGAGTGGTTTTCGGCTTTGGTGTGTGATGGTGGCCTTTGGTGGCCTTTGGTGGCCTGAGTTCTTTAGATGAGTTTAATTGTATTTTTTAGGTCTTGTGGGGCTAATTCAGTCCTCATGTCATATATATATATAGACACCAAAAACCCTCCCGAAAACTAACATGGACCCTGACAATGGCCCCGGGAAGATTGTTTTTCTCTATGAACCTAGTGGTTTTCAGGGTCCATGTTGGTCTTCAAGGGGGCAAATTGACGCTAGGTATTATGTCATGCACCTCCGAATACGTAATTCCCTTTTGGATTCGTTGGACCGTCATCTTGGTGAAAATCCATTTGCTCCACATGCACTCGGGTGTCATCTTGGTGCTTGAACTTCTTGTGTGCATGACTGTGATGGTTGGCTTTCTCCGTCACATACCCACAACGCCCAATGTTCGTGTCAGACTTGGTGGCCCTGGGGCATGTTTGCATCCGCAGCCCAACAAAAACCAGTGGACGCCACGCATACTATCAATCAGACATGTTTCACAAGGACCCTCCCGAAGTCTGCACAATCTGAATCGTGGCGAAAGAAGTCGTTGCACTCGTCGGTGGCAGCGCCGTGTCGTGGTAGGCCCTGGTGAAGATCCCTTTGAGCTCTGAACCGTCCAAGCTCTGAGAGAAAAGCGTCTCGCGCGAGTCCGGGCGATGGACGCGAGAGAAATCGAGATTAGATGGTTCTCAGGGTCGGGCTCGTGCAGAGGTCCCCATAGATGGGGTTCAGGTCTATCCTGTGAATCCACTTGCACCGAAAAAGATCCATTCAGGATTCAGGATGTATTTGTATGTATTTGTTCTTTCCACGGGAAAGAGTACCAGTTCTATAGGCAGTTGGTGATGTTCTGGCACTCTTGTCCTGTGATTGGGTGCATCATTGTCTATCATCTTTGACACCAACACCGGATCAGCTTCGTGTCCCGCTGATTGGGATTCAATCATTCAGACGTGGAACCTCTCGGGGAACCGAAGCGCCGAGATCGGATGTGCCCATGGGGGTCGAAGCGTTCCGGAACCGAATTGGTATAGCCTTGGTACGCATGAAAACCCGAGTTTTCGACGCCCCCGGTGGGCGATTTCCTGCAGCAGCGTCGCGACGTTCGAACCTGCCGAACTCGAACTCGGCTGAACTCGGCTGAAGTCAACACCAAACATAAACAAACTCGTCAACGTCATCTAGCGGTTCCGTGCGAAGAGTTCCGTCCATTTCACTTCCGGTCGCTTTGGGAGGCGCTGCACGACATGCCTGGGGCGAGGACCTGTCCGACTTCCGTCGAGTGGCGCAGCTGTTCACTCGATGAGATTTTTGGGGACTGGATTCTGTCCATCTCAACATCAGCCAAGTTCTGGCATTAAAAATATCCCTGGCTGGAGATATCGGCGCAGGGATGTTTGGCCGAAGACGTTGCCAGTCCCAGTGGATGGTCACGTACCTTCGGTGAGACAGACACGCGCGCGATACATATCAAGAGCTGCATGGCGGTGGGCCAAGCTCATGGAAACACCACAGCTTGTTGGGTAAGTGCAGCAGCTCTTTCTCAGCTGAACTTGCTTCGTGTTCTAAGCGTTAGCACTGCCTTATGGATTAAAGGATATCAAGGATATCAAGGTGTGCCTGAAATTCGAAGAAACCACTTGGCTTCAGATCCTCTTCACCCGTTCTTCACTCGCTTCCGATCGAAAAGACCGGTCGGCTCGTCTAGGAGCCGAAGCCGGTCGGCAGCCTGAGCCTCAGACCTGAGATGCTTGGGAGAAGCGGCTGACGCTCGGCAAGGAGGGGAAAGCTAGTTATAAAGGAAATCCGAAAAGAAGAATCTGTCGGACCTCAACAGATTTTTCATGAAAAAAAGACAGGTGATGTTGTTCGGCAGTCTCACACTCTCAGGGCCACTGATATGCCCACTCCGTTGGGGAGGAAGATGGAAAAGGTGTTAGAACAAGGTGATTTCCTGTAATGCTGGCACTGGTGGTCATGCTTGAGGCAAACAGCTTGGAGTTAGTCGTGACTCGATTTATTCCTGCCATGTGTTTCTGTTGCCTTCTCTGCACTGTCCTTGGCTCAGGTTTCACTGAATTCAATCAACGAAACAGGTGGAGCCGATCTCATGGTTTCTGTGTCCTGGGCGATCTCCGGCCGAGCCATAGCCACCTTGGCTGTGGAGCAGGTGGAGGGCGCGTCGGTGAAATCCCTCAAGACCGTGTTGGCCAAGCAGACTCTCGGCGGCAACCGCAGCCTTCCTTTTTGACCACTTGCCACTTGCCAAGAATTTCCAGTGAAGGAGTTCCATATTGGGGTGGTGTGGTTTAGTTTAGACCGGTTAGACCCCTTCCAGACTAGATGGAGAAGGGACACCGCAAGGAAAACCCCTTTGGTGGAAAAACGAGCACACTTTGGGCAACCTCCGTGTTTTGCACCCACAATTTGGGGAGCGTGTCAGAGTTCTTGGAGGGTCCAGTGGCGAGAACTGGTGGTCAGTATGGTCAACTTGTGGCCCGGCTTCCCATGCAGCCTTCTTTCCTACCTACCCAGGAAAAGTGGACAACCTGAAAAGGATTTATGGGAAATTGGTTTCTCCACTAAACACGAATGGGTGGAAAAAGGTTCACCTTTTTTCTAGGGAAACTGAGGGGGTCAGCCCAGAACATCCAAGAGCTCAACCTGTTGATCTTGTGTGCAGCAGCAAGGTGAATATGGTGAAACTTGGTGGCGATAGAACCACATTGATAGATCCAAGAGTCCTCGACTACTGTAAAGACTTCCTATAGTTAAAGCCCATAGCTTTGATCCGAATGACCCCAGATAAACCAATGTTTACCAATACAATATAGGAATATACTTTAACCGGTGCCCAGATCCAAACGACTCAGAGTCGTTCAACCGAGTGCCTTCAACCAAGGACTGGAGTCTCAAGGTTCCGGCAAAGATCTTTTTTCCGAAGATGGACAACCATTGGATGACGAGGAGAGGACGCCTGGAGGACGCGCTGTGGACGACCATCATGACCGTCCCGAAAAAGCAGGTGATCCTCCTGTTCCTTTCCAGTTGACCTTCCCATTCATTCACAAATCATATATAATATACACAAAATATACAAATATGTAATGATTGAGGACTTTTATAGTGGTTTGTTGAGATTAAAGACCAGCCGCGCAACCACTGAAGACACAGCATAAGTAATGCTGAATCCACGTGTTTTGGATACCAGTTCGGTTGTCTAGTTGTTTGTTTGCGCAGTTCGGGTCAACAACATCTCAGGACATCTGAGGACATGATCCAATCAAATCCACTCATTTTGTGGACATCGGCCCCTACTGCTGTTGGTGTTGCTCTGGTGTTCGACTTCTACCACCATGGAGATGGTTGAGTCATGCTGTTTGTTGGCAGTGAGGCCAGGCCGCGCGGCCGTTGTGCGTTTGACCAGGAGATCCTCCGCTCTCCGTTTCGTGCAGATCCTCGTCTCCTGGTCCTCGTGTCGTTTGGCCACCGGACGAGAAGCTCATCTCTGCCTGCGCAGCGAATCGCGGCGACGAAGTGGAAGGATTGCTCCGGAAGCCGCTCCTGACTTTGGGACAGGCGGCTGGACAGCGCTACGCACGGCAGCATGGGCTGGTCATTTGAAACATGGTGATGTTTTGGCATATGTGTTCGCTTTCAACCCCTTTCAGATGTCTTGACAAATATCTTTCAGGTGAGTTGAAAGCATCCACAGGAAATGCATGTCTTTGCTGCTGGAAGCCTTTGCCAATCCGGACGAAGAAGACCACTTTGGCTCAACAGTGCTGTACTTGGCAGCTGAGCGCGGTCACACAAAAGCTGTGAGCTTGCTTCTGGCAGCTGGAGCTGACAAAGATAAGGCTGCAAACGATGGGACCACAGCGTTTTGTTCCAGGCCCCTGGTCAAAAGACCAAGGCAGCTCTGAGTGGGCATTTGCCAACGGTGCGGATGCTGCTGGAGGCCCTCGCTGATACAAGATCCACACCAGTTCCTAGCTGCCTTCCTGCAAAAGCACACAGGCAGCCTTCGAAACTTGCCCCGGCCGAATAGCTGCAGATGCACAACCTTGGGGTGGCGAGCCCTTCAGGCTCAGTACTACCCTTCTCCTCTCCCAGCTGCCACAAGCGCCCTTCTCTTTTGGGTCGCATGGTACGGAACAGTGGCAGGGACGGAACTGTGTGGTGATCTATCCACCTGCGGACGCAACAGAAAGACGAACTTGGAGTGACTGCGCCGACAAGACCCCGACACAGAGCGGATGAAAGGAGGCCAGGGGGTGGTTGTTTACAAGTCACGTGTCACACATGTCATGTTTGGCTGCCGTCATCAAACAACTTGCCTTCATTCATCCTTTTAGCATCCACAATGACTGAAGCCTTATTAACTTATAAAATGACGATCCTTTTCTCTTATGAAATGCAAATTCCAAGGGATATTTTATACAAACATATGGGCCTGTATTTTGGCAACATATTTTGGATAACTACCTCTTCAGTAACTTGGAGAGTGAATGACAGTAATAGAGGCCAGGTGAACCCATAAATCTCATTGTATAAGAATTCACTTGGCGAGGTGTCGGAGGCTGGTCAGAACACGCTTTCTCAGGCTTTCTCATCTTGAAATCAATCATTTTCATTGTATAAAGGCTACGGATGTGGCATCTCACGGACATTCCCTATGCTGGTCATTTTATAAACTAGTTTGTTTTTCATTTTATGAACCAAAACACCTATCCGACCTATCCCTCACATTTTATAAACACAAATGGTTTACAAAATGAAAAATCGACCCGCCTGTGAACAATCAACGGGGAACGTTTAGCCGATTTGTATTTGTTAAATTTGCAATTGCAAAGTACCTGATTCATACCTCTATACTGCACTGCAGAAGAAAGCTCATCCGGAAACTCCCATGGACCTGCATTGGCGGCTTCTTCTCATCATAGCGACAGAGTGAGGGTTGTGAGGGGGGTGGTTTGAGATTGCTCCTCCCATGATGCAATTGGACCACTCTAAAATATCTAATATACAATTTCTCAGTTGATCACTATAGCTCAAACATGTGCATACCCATCTTAATTGCAGAGTTTGATAACATTGGATTCTGCAGGCTATTCTGGCTTTAGGCCCGACAGCGCGGATGCCCCGCAGCAGCTGCTGCAGTCTGACAAGTTGAGTAGACAGCATCCTTGCCAAACTTTTTAAAGAGACATGGGAGGCTTCAAGCTCTTCTAGAAATTCTAGCAATTGATTGGGAGGAAGAAGGTTGGAAGAAGCTTAATTTGCTACAAGGGGAGCACGAAGCTGATGTTCCTTAAAACCGGAATCTGCTGGAAGCAGTTCCTGTACAGACGTACCGCATGTGCGAGCTTTGCTCAATCAGTGCTTGTTCCGGACCCTATCAGGCCAAAGTTGTTTTGCAGGTAGCTATTCCACAATTTCTTAAAGTATGCAAACGACCAGTGACATTCAGGACCTGGAGGGGCCGTCATGCAGTCCTGCCATATCCTGCCAGTCCTGACCACGGACACCAAGTTCAGGACCCGAAATCCTCCGTTTGGCCTCCGACGTCTTCACACCCTCAAAGGTCCGATCGAAGCACCCGATCCGATCGGTTTGCCGGTCGGACCTGGATGGGAAGGGTTTGCATCAGCTCTTGGGTAGTCCAGACCCTGCTGAAGATTGGACTGAATTGGTTGCTGCATTTTGCATCGTGGCGCAGTGCCAGTCCTGATAGCAGGTTTCTGCAATCCCATCAAACTCATTTATAACTAGTTTCGCCTGCTTCACCAATTCGCATGCTTGAGCAGGTTCGGGAGTCTTCAGTGCTTTGGAGTGACACCACTGATATAGACGGTGTCGGGATGCAATCCAGATTGCTGCTTCATATATCGATGGCACTCCTCAGACGAGCTAAGTCAAATCGTTCACAGAACGCATTTTCGGGTGTTTGAGACCACCATCCAACAAGCTGACGAGGCAGCACAGGCAGCTTTCAGCTTTCTCCAGGCTTCCGGACTTCCACCGGGAAGTGTGTGAAGTCAGTGACCCCATGTGTTCCGTCGTGCCGAGATGTGGTTTTTTGGACTGGGCCCGGGAAGGGTCGGGTCACCGATATATTAAAAAGGTGGATCAACTAAATCTTTGATCCCTCTTTGGGGGGAGAAGTTCCAAGGATTTCCCCACTCAAACATGAAGAGATGGAACAAAGGCCGACACCCATGAAGAGATGGTAGACGCCTGATGGAGTCGGTGTTTCACACCGGTGAGACTTTTGGACCGTTCCGTGCCGGTTCGGATCGTTTTGGATGTCAAAAAGCCAAGGCCAAAGCCTTTCGATGCCTTATGGATTTGGATGCCTCAAATGGATGTTCTGCTGGGCCCCTTGAGATCTGGACCTTTTGTTTTTTTTGGGGTTTCTTTTCGAAGACGGTTTGTTTTGAGATGGTTTGTTTTTGAGATGAAATGATTTGGACATCCCATCTGGATTGCACCTCCGTTTTATGAAGCCGACTGTCTGACCTGTCTCCAGCTTGCATCTCCAGACTCCCGCCTGGATTTCAGTGCAACGACTCTTTCTTCTTTTGACGACTGCACCTGGTTCCATACCCTAATGAAGTTGGTTTTGCTCCAGTCTTAGACGCCCCAATGTGCAGTGTAGATCGAAAGCCCAAACTTCAGTTGTAGATCGATGCTCACGTGTTTGAACGGGGATGCAGTCGATGACGGACTCGCTTGCCTGATCAGCTTCGGTCCTTTGCATGCGGCTGTTGAACGACGTCGGTGTCGGTCTCCAGCTGCTGTTGGATATCCGATGGACTGCCAGTCGTCAAGTGACAAATCGGGGAGCAAGCCCTACATGCTAGTGAATAGTGCTTTGACCATTTTTGACCTCCAAGATTCAAGGTGTGGCCCCAAAAACGCACTTCAACCACATCGTTGAACCCATCAATTATCAACTCCATCTCCAAACTTGAGGCTTTCCATGCCATGTTCACCGCTCCTTGAGCCCTGCGGCCCGTCTTTCCGTTCGCTGACGACTATACCTTTCACACGTTCGTTGAGAGGTCCTCGCTGCGCCGAGGACGCGGCTCGAGAGACTCGTCGTGCGACCAAAAAGGTGGCCATGGCGCGGTGAACGTGGTACAACGCGGTGAACTGCATGCGGACTAAGGCTGTTTCATTGCAGGCGTTTTGGGACTCCCAAATGACTACCGATGGACCAACACCAGTGGTTGAGGTTGTGTTTCTATGTGTTTCTTATTGCCTACCTTGGTTCGGAACCGGACGCACCCTTGGAGCGCGCTTTTTGAAGCGCACGGTGTAGGTTCCCGGGTGCCATGACCCCACAGCCATGGGCCCCCAAGACCAACGGAGGACAACCTATATACGGTCAAACATCAGTAGCGGCGCGCTTCTTGAGCAACAACCACCGTTACTTCTTTGAGCAACAACATTAGATTCTGCAAAAAGGGCGCCACAAAGTTTGGTGTGAACAGAACATGTGTTTTTCTTCTGGTGAAACATATATCCGATGTAATCAGAAGATCTCAGGAAACAAGGCAAGCCGCTTGAAATGTCGTGAGCGTGTTTCTATTTGCAGACCAGCCAAAACAGCTTGCAGGTGTACATGGACTAAATCCGCTGCGCAGAAGCTATATACCCAAACAGCCCGAAACCAGCTGAGTTCCCTCGCGACGCTTCAGGTGACGTGAAGCGGCGCGAGATCACCCGGAGGCGCCGAGAAACGGTGCCGACACGGGCGTCTGGTGGGCGTCGGTGGAGGTGGAGGTTGGTTGAGGAGGATGGAGGAGGATGGAGGATTCATGTGAAGACTCCAAACCTAAAAGAAGAAATTCATACCATTTTTGTTGGACTTTGGCAAGCTCTCTGTGAGAAGTTCATACCATTTCCCCAAACCATCCATTGCTCCAAGAATCGGGAAAAAACACCTCAGAAGTTGGGGACTTGAAAAAAGCTTGGTGTCATTTGCCTTGAGATCGCCCCCTCCAAAGGCTCTGAATCTTGCGATCTCCCATCACCATCGAAGCTTGACCAGCCCGAAACCACCTGGCGACATGGTCAAGCCACGTTGCGATCATCTCAGTTGATATCCGATTATCCCAGGGGGCGTAGCCCCCAAATGGATGCATGGTCCAATGGTCCTACATGGTCCATGGTCCATTTGATGGTCCTATAAAGTATATGTTGACGGTCCATATCCGTTTTGATGGTCCTTTTTGATGGTCCATGTGACGAAGAACCAAAAAGCCTTCAAAAACCGCTTCCCATCGGATCGGACCTCTTTCCGCGCCCCTGGCGCCACAGGATCGGTGCCCTGGCGCGCGGCGGCGTCTTCGGTAGCCCGGCCGTTGTGGAATCGAGACACAGAGAAGACAGGGCATGAGCCCTCTGTTGGTGTCAATGTGGATAGTAATTACGTGGATGGCACGAAGATGCACAAACTATTGCTATTATATATAGCCAGTTCAGATGGTCATAGGATGTCATAAGCATCCTGGATGAAGAAATATCGCTGGGGATGTGCCATTCACATGTCCTGCATCTCCGTGTTGGTGGTCTTTGTCGATTGGTTGTGGTTCAGTCACTTCTGGTGAACCACTCCGCTGCACCGGATGGATCCCTGGAACAGTGGAGCGGCTCCGCGGACGCCGTCCATGCCGTTGGGTTCTGGAACGGACACCGTCATGCCACGTCGATCTCTGAGGTTTATGGGATCAAGTTTGCAGGTGGAGTTTTTCAACCCATCTTAGGCATTGAGGTCTTCGAGTGATTGAATATAAGAAAATAAGCCATGGCAATGAGGGTGTCTTTTCGGCAGCTGAATGGCGAAGCGATTGTTCTTGAAATCATGCCAGACATCACTGGTCGAGAACTCAAGGAGCGGATCAAGGATTGCCAGCAT